TTCCGTATTCTCTTGGCATTGGTTTATCCTTCTTCTTCTTACTCCTAGGAAATTGCACATATTTTGTTATTTGATCATCATGACATATGATATTATTATATCATTTTACAGGTAAGAAACAGAACCTCAGAGCCATTAAAGCATTTACCTGAAGACAGCCAGGTTACTTCACAGTAATTAAGAACTCTCTTCCTCTCAGCATCAACTTAAATTCCCTAGAAGTTCCATGGGTCAGAGGAATGCAGGGATAGTTTTCAGTCAGTGTGCAGGTTAATTAGGGAGTATTTTGTCTCAGAAGTTGTATGAAGCCTAAGAGAAAAACAGACTTTTCTGGAGAGGCTATTTGAATAAATCGAGCATCAAATATTAAGAAAGATTGAGAGGGAGTACTGAGAAGGTGTTTTGGAGTATCACCGAAGTATGCGGGAACAAGCCCTGACCTAAGAGAAAGGCCAGCCTACCTGGATGTTTTGGAGTAATGAGGTTGCTAGGGAAAAGAGAAAGTGCCTGAGAGGAGGTGTTGGATTAGGCCAGGTACCAGAACCAGCCAAAGGAGATAGTTACGTATGGAAAACTGGTACCTGCTTGGTGTTCAGTAAATGTGAGTTCTCTTCCCCATAATTTCAGGCTGTTGTAGCCAGAAGACTTCCATCATCATGTTTGCACTGATGGGAGGTGAGCCAAGAATGAGGGTGTCGTCTCCTGAATACATGCATCTGTGTTGAGGTGTAGACGAGGACCGCCCCCCCGCCGCCAGTGCCCTCTCTGCTTTGCCTTTGTGGGCTTCCTTCCTCCTCTCTAGTTTAGTATCTTCAGTGTTTGGTTGACAGAAACAATTGTACTGAACAGTTACTGCTCTTAATTTAGCAAGCCACCTGACCTGAAGACCCTCCTCAAAACAAAGGTTTCCTAGATACAAAAACAGGGCCCCGGGAGGATGCTTTTGGTTTCATTCAAATGTGTTATGTAGTTAATAGTATGCGTAGAATATTAGACTGCTACCGTTGCACCTTGAAATCAGGTTAAAGCAGCTGCTTTGTGCCCAATATGCAGGTTTTTGATGGGATAGCCTTTAGTCAGGTTTCAAGTGATACCATCCATAATTGAATTTCAGAACCCCCATGTTTTTTAAGTTTACAGAATTTCAAATTGGAAAAAAAAAAAAACTTAAGAATAATTTGCAAGGATTCCCAAGAATATATATAGTATTGTCGGGCTTCTTGTGGAATCTTAATTTTATCAGAGTCTCCCAAATTTAAGGTAAATGTACATTACAAAGTACTGAAAGAAAGAGCCTTATATAAAGTCAGCATTATGTGTTTTACTGAACTGATGATGGCTATAATGATGGTAACAGAGAATTTGTGATTAATAACTAATTGACCCTGAACTATATGCTGGGCATCAAATGACTTGTGAATTTTGAGTTACTTACTTTGATTCTGAAAGTATTTATAAGAACCCAAAGTTTTCTTTGTTTCTTCACTGATGAGAAAAAAAAATCAATCTAGATAGAAATCAATAGGCTAATTCACTATAATTGTTCATTCATTTTTGTAGCCCGACAGTTTCTTTTCTTGTTCATGCTCATGAAAAAAATATGTTTTAGTGAGTAAACAGTTGAGTGATTCCTATAATTTTTTAAAAATATTACATGTTGCTTTGGAATGTAGTTGACCAGCTCCATTTTTAAATGAGTTTAAATGTTCTGGAAGTTCACATTCCAAGTAAATGAGGAAATGTTGTAAAAGTTTTACTTGGGAACTTAAGCTGGAGATTTCCTCCTTTTTATCCTTTTAATCTACCTCATAGGGTAGGTAAATGTTTCCACCATTAAAAGTAAGAAATCCCCTTAGATTTCCATTTCTGAAGATTTAATATCTAATATATATTAGAATCTGCATCATGCTAAGTGCTAAAACGAATGCAAAAGAAGTGCTCCCATAGCTTCTTCCATCCATTTAGCAAATCTCAGTTACCTTCATTTGCTAGGAACACCGTTAAATTTATAGATAGGAATTCAGAGAAATTTCCTTACAGCTTTAAATCTGTTTCCATGGGTGCCTTAAGTAATTTCGTCTCGAATATAACTGCTATCCCTTTCCAGTGGGGGCTAGAAAATGCTTTCTCAGCTTCTCTAATTCTATCTTGAAATTACTTTCTTTTCTTCAAAAATTTATTTGTATTTTTTTCATCCAGGATGATTAGGCTTGGAGGGATTTAATTATCTACCACTCCCTCTCAAACATATAGGCCAGAGTGTGTGAATTGGGCGGGGGGAGGTACAGAGCATTTCAGGCAGAAGGAGCCACCTGTGGGAAGGCTGTGGGGCAGGTAAGAACTGGGGAGTCGAGGAACTGAGAGGAGGTCCGGGTCGGCACCTAGTGAGGGCAGGAGCGTAGGCGTGATGCTCAAGAGACCGTGGTGAGGAGGCGCTGGGCCTGCCTTGGTGGCGTGGGTGGTGGGTGCTGTGCTGTCCGTGCCCCCCAGGTTCAGGCTCAGTCCCCAAGTCTCTGAACTCAGTTCCATGGCTCTCCTTGTTCAGAGATGGGCTGGTTGGAGTAACCCAGAGCAGGACCTGAGTGCAGCAGCCTCGCAACAGGTGGCCAACTGGTTTTCACTTTGTATTCACTGTTCCGTGCCCTTACTGTGATCTCTCTAGAAGATTTAAAAATTGTCCCCACCTTTTGTTCTCATTTTATAGCCCAAAACGACTTTCAAACTCTGCTGTGAATTACAGACTCAAGTGTTTTCTGGGCCTGGCAGGTTTCTGAGTGTCTGAGCAGCCAGTGTGAATCAGGAGGGAGCAGAGGGTGGGCTGTGTCAGACTGAAAAGTCATACTGGCCTACAGACATTAAAAGCGTGTTTAACCTGTGCCACACGAGGCCAGATGTTCCCAACATTCTGGACATTTAGATAAGCATAAACTCTTCAGACCATTGATTTTTGCAGTTTATTGGCGACTGTGATGTGTGTCCATTTTAAAATAGGAAATGCTGAGAACTTTGTGGCATAAACCTGGACAGTTGTGTGGATGGAGTGGAATGTGTATGTATGGTATTGTCTTGTTTTTGGTTTTTAAGATTGTGAGAAGAAATAAGAAAGAAACTGAGAACGTGCGTAGATGATTCCTTTAGGCAAACTAAGAAATGATTCTGAGTGATGGTGAATTTCCATCATTTATATAACTCTTAGGAAGCTTGAATTTAATTCTTTTTTTGTCCTGGTTAAACAAACGTGTGGCTGAACTGTTATGAAGGGCACACTTTCTTGGGTATTAATGACTAAAGGGCCTTAAAGAGTCCATGTTTGTTCAGAGTGAAACATGTGTTTCTTAATATTCACACCTGAAGAGAAGCCGTGAATGTTAGTGGGTCTGTGTGACTATGGGTATTGTATTGCTTAGACGTCAGGCTCCCTGTGTAAAGAATCACTGATTGCCTGTCCACTACAGGAAACCCGTAGCTGGTACCTTTTCCCAGTTTGATCATTCTTGGTAACCACAACTTTAACATGGAACTCAAAGTTGTTTTGTGGGAGTGTGATTTCATCAGATCTTTTCCTGTATCCAACTCTTTGGTGAAATTTCAATCTAATTAGGAAAGGCAGCAAGAAATTCTTATTGGGCATATCAAAAGGGCTTTTCACCTGAAATATCATTTTTTTCTTTTAAAAACTGTGTATTGAGATGCACGTTTAGATAGAGTACCCAGTCTAATATGGAATCCAGTTCCACTCTGACATGGAATTCAGTTGCGTCCCATTGAATGCGGGATTGTTTGTGTATATGCGTCTTTCTAGGGGGGTTATTTTATAACTTTCAACAAACTTTTGAAACAATAAACGTTCATGGTGGCAAGCTGTTGGGAGTGGCATTGGCTGTGGTGGTGGTGAAGACAGTAGATTGGTGACCACTGCAGTAGACACCAGTTTTTCTCACTGTAGACTGACACCTTAAAGATTTTTTGGTATTTTCAGTAAGAAAAAAAAATATTAATAACCGAAAAGGAGTACCTGAGTATCCTGGGACCTGGCACAACTGAAGCTGGTACCAGGGACATTCTCCACTCTTTATCTATAAAGAAGTTCGGCGAGATTGTCTAGTCCCAGGGCTCAGCCCTGGACCCAGCCCAACTCTTAGGAAGGTCTTATTTACTCTCTTGACAGAGGCCAGGAGCATTTCTGTGACTTACGGGAAAACTAATATATGGTGGTTTTAAACACAACATCGAGTTAATAAAGATGAGTAAAAACTAAAAAGCAGATATCTTGGAAAGTATCTATCAATGGAGTAAGCAAATCTGTATTGCCTGGGAAACGTGGACCCAGGGATCTCCAGCATGGATTCGTTTCTCCCCATTAGGTCTACACTGGGAGGGAACTGATATGCTTTGCTCCACACGCCCCCCCCCACACCCCAAAACGTGTGCCTATGTGACTTGGTCTAGGTAGCCATTGTTATTGGTTCCTCCATGAGCCGTGGCAAAGCTCTTTAAAAGTCTAGTTTCTGATTGATTTGTTCAAGTTTGAATTATTTTTATAGGATAAAAAGTTATGTGTCATCTATTGCTTTCTGTTATCTTTTTCGAGTACCAACTAAAGTTTTTTGTTTGGCAGTGACATCTGCAGTATCAACATTTTATTTTTGAATATAAAATGTGTATTCTGTAGTCATAGTGATAACATGCAAAAGTCCAAATCTGAATATTGTTAGAGTAATTAGTTTAAAAACATAATGAATTTCGGTTTTCCATTGTTCATTCATTATGGCAAATATATTTGCTCCCCCTACTCACATCTTAAAAATATAGCAAATAAAATCATATACCAAATTTCTATTTGTTTTTTCAAAAAAACTTTTGGAATGTAAGTAAATGAGAAATCACAAAATGGCATTGGTAATGATACAGAACATGATGTAAATGAAGAGTCTGAGTCTTTTTTTTTTTAACTTAAAAATGTTAAGATATATGTTAAAAGAATCATTGTCTTATTTCAGATAAATTTGCGCCTCATCTTGGTAAGCGGCAAAACAAAAGAGTTCCTGTTTTCCCCCAATGATTCTGCCTCTGACATTGCGAAACACGTGTATGACAACTGGCCGATGGGTGAGTACTGTTGTTCTCTTGAGAAGGAGCCATGTTGACTCCTTATGTCCTACCTTGTTTCACAAACATTCTGAAAAGTCATTTAAACGTTAAGAAAACAAGCAGAAATGGATAGGACAAGGCTCCGACTTGAGACCAGGGCGTCCTCCCCGGACGTTGCCGTTCGGTATCCTTCCCACGGTGGTAGGAGCCCAACGTTTCAGTGTGACACTTTTGAAAAAGAAAAGCACAAAATACAGTCATACAATATACTTCCTATCAGTAGACCTACATATGCCAAAACACATAGTAAAAGGAAAGAAAAACCCTTTACAGATTATAATACATTCTCTTTGGTCTTCTGTCTACATGGCCTATTTAAAAATAAGTTTGAAACAAAGTTAACTTCTAACTGATTTCACTTGATATGTTCCCTGAACTACTTACTACAGGGTCAAGAAAGTGTAAAGTTCATTTATGCTTTGCTTTTTCTTTCTTTTCTTTCTTCTTTCTTGCCAGGGTCTTGCTCTGTCGCCTGGGCTGGGGTGCAGTGGCGCGATCACTCACTGTGACCTCAACTTCTGGGCTTAAGCACTCCTCCCGCCTCAGTTTCCCAAGTAGCTAGGCGCCAGCAAACCCAGCTAATTTTTTTGTTTAATTTCTTGTAGACATGAGGTCTCACTGTGCTGTCCAGGCTGGTCTTGCCCTTCCATCCTCAAGCGATCCTCCCATCTTGGCTTCCCAAAGTGTTGGGATTACAGGCGTGAGCCACGGTGCCTGGTCACGTGCTTGGCATTTTTAAGCTGGTTTCTTCCGAGTATTCATGCTGGGTATAGTGAACTAAAGTTGTGTCTTCTGTAATGATATCAACTGACTTCAAAAAGACAATAAAAAACTAAACATTGTCTAGCAGTGAACAATGTTAATTTTTTTTGTTATTCTCAATGTTAGTATATTTTTTCTAGAAAAATCTTCGTTAAGCCTGTTGTTTTCAGTCTTAAATATGCATTTTAACAGGTACAAACAGTGGAACATTATCATATTTTCCTCAACTCATTTGCTTTTACTTTGTAAACTTCAGGACTATAGTTTGGCACATTTTAGTATCCTTTAAGAATCAGAACTAGTCTTTTTTTTGTGGCTCTTGCTTTTCAGCAGGAGGAATAAGCTGAAAGCAAGGCCGCAGTGAATGCAGTAGTAGTGACTCTTTCGATTAGTCAAAGTGCCAGGGGTCGTCGACATACCCTTACCGACTTGGATCTGCAATTTTAAAGCAATGCAGTAGTACCTTAAGTATGTGTTGGATGTACCTAACCAGTCCACTGGATTCTTTTCAGACTGGGAAGAAGAACAGGTCAGCAGTCCACATATTCTACGGCTTATTTATCAAGGGAGATTTCTACATGGAAATGTCACATTAGGAGGTAATACTTTGTGATGGGATTCAATGTCTTGTCTCGTGGTAGCATTATTTGTCGGTTTGTTTTGAATACTAATGTCTTTAAATTTACCAAAAAAAAAAAAAAATTCAAACTCTGTGAATTCTGCCTATTTTGGGTATGGCTGTTTCCTTTTCTATTAAATTTAACTTTAGGACTATGAACAGTGTAACCACCTTTTAAAACAAACTCTGTCCCAGTAGTGGGAGGAGTTCATAGCTACTGTTTTGTAAATGTAATGTAATTATACTTCTAGATAGTAAAATGTAGGTATAGTATTTTTAACTTCAAACTACTGGATATACAAATTAGAAAAAGCTTATAATAACTGGTTTTCAACTATTACATGGAGGGATGTTTTCCTTTGACGCCACCTGCTATGATCACTCATTGTGTGAGAATAAAAGTAAATGGCAGGCATTAGAGCAGCAATACAGTGTAGCGATAGGAAGAGCAGATTTTGGAACCAGACTGCCGAAGTTGTGTACAAGCTCCATTGCTCACGGCTGTATAACCTTGGGCAAGAGACTAAACCAATCTGGGCTCATTTCTTCATTACTAAAATAAGATACCAATAGTGCCTACCTCACAGGTTAGGGTAAGCACTGTCACATGGTAAACACTTTAATTGTTAGCTTGTTATTGTTCTTGATATGTGATTGAAGAAATGTAGCTCAATAGTGCCCCCTAACGGGGGGTACCTTTTCTACCATTAACAGGGCTTGTTTTTAGAGTATTTCAAAAATATGCAGGCAATTGGAAATGTACCAGCAAATGAAATGATCTATCTAAGCATATCTTGGTTTCAGTAGTGGTCTGGCTTTTCAAAAAGCCTCTACACCTAACAATGAAATATTTAATCTATTTGTTTAAAGGTATTCACTCATTCAGCATATTTTGAATTCATCTTATGTGCCAACACTGTGCTAAACACTTGAAGATACAGGGTTGAATAATTTAGACTCTCTGACTTCAGGGTGTTCTAGTGTTACGTTGTGGGACAAGCAGATAAAATCTTCTGTAAAAATCCTGTGTGATAAGGGCTTGAGTAGGTGAATGCCAGTGCTCTTACGGCACTATCAAGTCAGCAGAACATTCAAGGACCAATGCATCCATGACTGGGTTTCAGTGGTGGTGTTACACTTGGTCTAACAAATGCTGCTGTCCACTAAAACACATCTGACACTTAAAAATACAGCTTTTTTGGTTTGTAGTTTTTTTGTAGCTTTTGAATGGTTAGATGGAGCAGTCTTAAGGGAAGAATGGACTGTTGGCTCCCTGCTGTGTTGTGCCTTTGGTAAGGACGGAGTTATGTTTTTGTCTTTTGCTGATTCTCTGTGGCTCACACGCCATCTTGGTGATTTGAATGTGGTCAAGTGTAATCTGCTGACTGCTTTGTGCGTGAATCCCTTTCCCTTTGAGACTGATCTGCGGAGGGCTTCACACCAGCTCAGTTCTTTATTTCTGTTTCTCTGGGACCTCAGAGTTCCAACTTCATATTAAAGACCATAGAACTTACGTTAAAATCAACGTTACTGATTCATTCCCATTAAAGTGTAAACTTTTACCAGGTTTTTTTGAATTTGTTTTAGAATAATTAACAGGCTGACTCACAATTATTATTGTCATTCTGTGGTGTTGTCATGCTTTTCAAAAACAAACTAAACTATCTCTGGTGTTAGTGATTCAGACAGATAGCATGGCCAGTTGAACAGTGTTGCTGGGTGTTAGATCAGGGTTGGATAATGACATTCCACTATTTGTCTATTTGGTTTCAGTGTTGTTTTGTTTTGGTTTCCCTGTGTTCTCAAATGTGAATAAAGGAGGTAGCACACAGGGGAACAGCAGCTGCCTTAAACATGTGAGTGGCTATGGGGAAGAAGACTGAGGCTTGCTCTGTATGGCCCAGGACTTGCTCTTTGTGGCCCTGGACTTGCTCTGTGTGACCCTGTGAATGAGACTTGGGGCCAATCACTGGAAATCAAAGACGATTTTCTATTCAGTATAAGAGAAAATATTTGAACACATTGAGCTACCCGAAGAGAGAGCGGACCCCCGTGGGGAAGAGTGAGATCCTTGTCACAGGGGACGTTTAAGCAGTGGGTGGCCACGAAGTAGGTGGGATACGGCTGTGGGTGGGATTCGGCCGTTGTGTGGACAGTTCACACAGGTGGCCTAGGCCTTCTCTGCCACCCTTGAGATTTGTGGTTCAGTAAATTTCAGGTTTACATCTTCGGTATTAAATGTCTTAAAACATAGCACTAAATCCCTTTTTCAAGATATAACCTAATAGTCACATGGAATTTCAGTCCACTAAAGGAAAGGTGTGGTGACTGCCTTGTTAACCAGAGGGCAGAGAAGGTGATCAGCTAAGGCACTGACATTCCTGACAGTCAGTGCGTTCCAGTGTTTTCCAGATGAGGTTGGAGACGGTGGGCATGGGAGCCAGCTGGCAGCTCAGTGAGAATGCAGATGTCGGCAGGCCCATCTCCCAGCTGCACCTCTGAATCGCGCTCCCAGGCTATTCTTGTGTTTGCCGAGGCTGGAGCCCTCCCTCTGGATGCTGTGTGTGTTGTGGGGGGAGGCAGAAGCGTCGCAGTGGGGAGGGGAGAAGGTGCTCTGGATTCTCGTGGTGCTCTTCCTTCGCCTTCTTCCATAGCGCGAGCACCAGTATCTGCCCTTTCTAGTTAAGACTCCAATGGAGAAGGAAAACTGTCGTCTCTGCCAATTGAGTTTGTAGCTTCGAATGGTCGGGAGCTTTCCAGGTCTGTCCGCATCTTCCTTAAGTTTACGTTTCAGAGGTTCACTTTTTTGCTGTCTCAAAATGGTGAGGCTGGTGATGATCGTGGTCATGTTTGCTGAAGTGCCAAGCTCCGGCGAAGCACTTTCCTTGGATTGTTCCATTTAATGGACACAGGGTGTGAGGGGCAGGTAGTAGAGTTAACAGCTCCAATTTCCAATTTAGGTTGAGGAAAGGAGGCTTAGCGAGAGGGTAAGTAACTTAGCGTTGCTTGGTTACGCAGCTGGGGAGCAGCATGTACTAAAGTTTCCACCCCAGTCTGGCCTACTAGCGTCCAGGGGATGGGTTTGCATGAGGCGCACTTGGTGTGCGCACATTCTAGGTCCCATTCAGGGCTTCCCAAAACGTTTAGTGAAATGTTGAATAATACAAAGTCTTATTCATATTTTCATCTTACGTCAGGCCTAGGAAGTTACCCCCCAAAGGCTTTCCTTTCCTTTCTCATCACTGTGTATTTATGGATCATCGTGCTCCATGTGGACGCCAGAGGTGAAGAGTGTAGACCAAATGACAGCTGGCTGACTTTAAGTAGGATAGAGATACACCTTGGCTATATGAACTGGTACTGACAACTGGGCTCTCTTTAAAATCCACTGTCTTCTTTTAGAGAAAGCGTTAAGAAGCAGGAAGTTGGGGTACCGTACTTGAGAAGTCATGACCTTGAGTCTTGCTTGAGTTTGCAATTAGCAAAGGGAAAGTCGCTTGGGGTGTCAGAGCTAAAACATCACAGCTATGGAACCAGCTTGAGAAGTTTATGACAGCTGCTGCTAATTTTATCCACAGAATAGCAAAGGATTTACCATAAAACTTGCTGTTTGTTTTGTGTTTAGTTTTTTTTGAGTTGGAGTCTCACTCAGTCGCCCAGACTGGAGTGCAGTGGCCGCTTCCGGCCACCGCAGACTCGACCTGCTGGGCTCCGGCGATCCTTCCGCCTCAGCCTTCCGAGTAGCCGGAATTACAGGCGCGCGCTACCACGCCCAGCTGAGTTTTTGATTTATTGTAGAGATGAGGTCTCGCTGCCCAGGCGGGTCTCGAACCCGCGGGCTCAGGCAATCCACTCACCTCAGCCTCTCAAAGGCGCGGGATTACAGGCTGAGCCACCGAGCCCGGCAAACTTGCTGTTTGTACTTGCTTCAGTGGTTCATGGATACCTAAGTATGTGATATATTCTAATGTCTGAAATGTTTCGTAATGACATTTTTTTGTGAGTGAGAAAAATGTTATAAAGACTTTATAAGAAGACAGTAATTATTAATAACACCAAGACAGTGATTCTTTTCCTTTAACTTTTTAAAGAAAATTATTTTTTAATCGTGTGAATCAGTGCTTAAAATTAAATGTGTCTTTCCTTATATTACTACATTACAGTAGCCTGTTCAGTGCAGCAACATTATTAGGCTCCTGACAGGTAATTGGATTTAGAAACAAATGTCTCCTAATCCAAATTTTTCCCTAACTAGGGAAAATATTCTTTGTGTAAAAAAAAAAGTATACTTTTCTCTAAAAGTGATCTCTGATATTAACCAATTATGTATTTTTTTCTTATCCCTTTTCTTAAATAATACGGATAAATGTATCAAGCTAATGGCCATAGCTGGGAGAAATAATTTTTAAATTGTAAAAGTTATCCCTGATAATATTAATCTAATTTCATTTTGTAAAGGTGGTGTTGTGTTTGGTAAAGACGTTCAGTCTTTGAGGAAGTTGTAAGAAAAGCAATCAGTTTTTCAGATGGTTTCAAATCTGGTTAATGGTTTTCATAGGTCAGTGTACATGTAACAAATTGTCTTCTCTTTTTCACATAGCATTAAAACTTCCTTTTGGCAAAACAACAGTGATGCATTTGGTGGCCAGAGAGACATTGCCAGAGCCCAACTCCCAAGGTGAGCTGTGCACCAGGATGCGTCTCAGCTAGGGCACAGAGGCAGGCATTCACCCAGGGCTGGGTTCTGCTCAGACATCCTGGAGGAAAGGACGTTTTCCAGGTTTAGAAATAGAGGCTGTCAAGCAAATAACCAGACGTTTTTGAAAGATGCTAACATTAAAAGAGCCTTTGTAAAGTTTTTAAGTCTTAACAGATGCAAACTTTTTTTAAAAACCCCAAACCATTCTTACTACACTTGGGTGCCTGGCCCCCTTTCCCCACCGGTTCTGTAATTGTTATAAACGAGGCTTTTTTTCATTTCCCCTAGGCCAGAGGAATCGTGAAAAGACTGGAGAAAGTAATTGTTGTGTGATCCTGTAAATGCAGTCTGCTAAGTGTGATGTGTGACACGGTCTGTCTTTCATGCTGCTGGACAGAAGAGACCCAACATTACTTGAGAACCCCTTAAGGACAGACTGCCTGTAAATCCATGGAACTGATTGTCACATGAGCAGTGTCATTTTTTTCTCTTGAAAGTAAAAAAAAAACCAAGAACATTTTTCACTGTGGTTTTTATTTCTTGTATTTTTATGTTGAGCAGTTCTTAAACATTGGTGTTTGAATGCAGCCGATTTCCAGGGGAAAAGGTAGCATGTTGTCTTTCATAGCAGAAACCCTTTTGCTGCCACAAAAATTTTCATCACCAGAACTAACAAATCAAGTGTTCCAAATACAGTTTGCACTAAAAAAAGGATTGACATTATTTTCCTCATCAGCAGAATTGATAGCAGTCTATGGTACCTAGAAATACTCGTGTATACAATTCCACACTGGAAGACACTCAGCAGTTAATGGAGTTAATTACTGGGCCAACTTGAGAGGAAAAATGGCAAAGAAACTAAAATGTTGGGCAAATGCTACTGAAGTCAGCCGCGGTGGCTGCACTGGCACAGAATACGAAACTGAGTGTGATGATTTTCACTGCAACAAATGAAAAAACAAAACGTGCCTGTTGTCTAAAGCACTCAGTCGAGGGCTGCTGAAGCTGATACTTTTCCCTTATGACATGCACTCGAGCCCTCCGGTAGCTGAGTGCTTGTTCCGAGCCCAGGAAGGGTGAGAGTGTGTCTCCTAGCCTTAATGTGGGAGGGGGATCCGGTCGCTCATAGGCTTGCATCATGTGCAGAAATCGTAGAAAACCTCATTGGTCGATTTTATGTATTTGAATATCAGCAAATGGAAGTTTCCAAATTTTTGCTCATCTGTAGCCATGTCCAGCGTCATGCTTATTCCTTAGATTTCAGATGAATTCTGACAATTAAAAAAATCTCCATAGTACTAATTTTGTTTCTTTAGGTAGTTTGCATTTGGTATTAGTGCTTGCAATCGTATTAAAATTAAAAGCTGATTTTTACAGCATATGTGATTAAGGATGCCATTTTTTTCTCTTATTTCGTATCAATAATTTAAAGATTGAAATGCTAAAAACAATTTGCACAGCACTAAAGCATGAGCTGATTTCATCTAAACCTGTAAAAATATGAAAGATTTTATATTTTTTCACTGGGAAGACATTCTTCCTGGATGAAATTACAAATACGTGTAGAATATATTTAATAAAAGACTTATAAAATAACTATAGAACTTAAATATAGATTGGCGTGTAGCATATAGAACAATATTCCATATAAATAACTTTAACCTTTATAAAAATGAAATTGCAGGCTGACAGTATGTTCTGTTCCTATAAGCATCCACAGCCCTTACAGACATTACATGTAAATGGTTTCGAACAGTCAGCATTGTTTAAATGTAACCAGATTATTTTATTCATTGTTAATGCTTTGATGAAAAGGCTTTATATGCAGTAGGTCTACAAAAATATTGTTCATACTGATCAGAATTAAATTTGTATAGAGCAGAGTTTTGAAATGAATGTAAATAACACTAAACATTTTCCTTCTGCAACCTGTACTTATAGCTTCTTAATGTAAATGAAATTAAAAAACATCACAGTGCATTTTGGTGGTAATTTTAAAGGTCTCGATTAGGTCGATAATTGTTTAAGCACTATCTCATCCAAGTTAAAATTGTTTTCTACTTTTCTTTCTGAAGCTTTTGAAACTCAGTTAATATTCTGTTGTTGGTTTGAGAAGCAGTCCCAATGTATCTTTGATATTAAACCTGGTTAATTTGTGCACAGTCACAATGGAGAGAATTGTGTAGTCTGTTATCACTAAAATGTTACATTCAAGAGATGTTAAATATTTATATGCTTTGTTGGTGAGGGCAAATGTGAATTCTGGTAGTGTTGACTAAAAAGAATCTGGTAGTTACTTAATTGAGCAGTTAAACCGCTTATGGCTCTGTTCTTTTGTAAAACAAACTACTGGTAATTCTTTTTAATACCTAGTTTAATTCTAATTACTCTTTGTTTTTCCAAAGTTAAGGACTATCAGTTAATTAAGATTGAATTTTTAGGATGGTTAAAAATAATTCTCTGTTGGTTTTCAAGAAGTTTTTCTGTGCTTTCACATCATGTATTTTCCTCAATTTAGAGTTTGCTAAAGGGGACGAACTGGTTCGGTGGTAGAGAAAGACTTATGTCGCTTAATACCTAATATAGTACCTAATATAGTTGTACAAAATGGAAAAAGAATTAAAAATAGCAGTAAAATTATATACTGAAAACACCAAAAATTTAGATGCCTTAATAGTGTATACATGAAAATACTCAATTATCCCTTTGAAAATACTCCCGTGGACTGCCTGACAGTTAAAATATGATTAATCAAAAATAAAATAATAGAATAAAATAAAATATGATTAGTCTCATCCAAGGTTACGTGTGAAGACCCCTCTGCCAGAGTGGCAGCTCACTTAGCCAATGAGCTGCAGAGATCCGGTCATGTCAATAAAGGTGAATGATGGGCTGTGTCCCTGGGCCACACTTGGTCTGCACTCATCTCTATCCAAGCTGGCCTAGACCTTGGCAGGCATTCGGGACAAGGCGAAGCGCTTCTTTCTGATTAAGACCTCAGCATGTCTCCCTGATCTGAACTCTGCTTTCTCAAGATAAGTTGTATCTTACCCTGAAAACTCTAGTATCTAACGTGATCATTTGCATTAAATGAGGTTTTCTCATAACAAACATTTATCCTTAGTTTTATCATCTTGACCAATGTTACAGTAACTTCTGTTAGCTGATTGTGGTAAACTATGTTTCATGTGAAAAGAAATTAAAACTTTCTTCATCTGTTGTAGAACATTTCTCTTCTTTTAAGTGACTTCCCTTTGTAATTTGGGTCTGTTTTCCTGTTCTTCACATCGCTACTATTTTTGCCCTTTTTTCTGCCTTCATTTTATTATGTTCTTCAGTAAAATTCAGCGTTGGGCCAGCCTTTGCTGTGCTTCACCAAATCAAAGAGAAGTGGTCCACCAACATTGAGCATGCCTTCCTTGGCAACTGTTGCAGGCATTCCAATTTTCTTTTTCTATTTTTGTTTTGTAATACAGTCATTCGTTAGCCAAACAGAGTGATGGGTGGGAGGTGGGCTTGGCAGAAGGTACGTGACCTTTTCAGAACAGCTGAAACAGGGCTGTGGACAGGGACCGGGTGCCATTTCCGTGGTCAAGGTGGGGTGAGTTCTTGGACATGTGGCTCTTCTCCGTCCCCTGTCACCTGGTGTGCTTTCTTTAGAAGACTAAAGCCCTCACACGAAGCCCTCACACAAGGCGGGGGCAGGGGGACTTCCAAAAGAGTTCACGGACAGAATTAAGTGAGAAACATCTAATTCTTAATGGCCAGAGTTGAAACCAGTACTAGAATGTGAGAACAAATTTCACGTATTTCTTTCATGGTCTTTGACAATGATGTCAAATGTCCTTTAGTATTATTTTTCATATTCTGCCTCTTTTTCAAAATGACAACTTACAGGAAATAGAGAATAGACGTAGGTAATGAGCATTTTGGAAAGGGAATCCCAGTGTCTTTCCTATAAGTCAACCAATAAAAAGGAGTTGGGTACACACACTGTCTGCAGTGACTCAGGAAGTGATTTGTTTTTGGAAGTCTGGGGCAGAGAGTCTCACTGGCTTTAGAATGTAGTTATTACACACTCAAACATTATTCGGCATCTGACTTTTATATCCAATGAAAATTCCTCAAAGCTTGTTTGGTGTGAGGGAAGTTGGCAGTGCAGGGGGAGACATTCTGCTGTGGTTAAATAGTGCAAGGCGGTGACAGCCTTGCCACATGTGCAGCCTGGCTCCGATGACGCCTTCTAGACCGTCCAGACTGTCCCGATGTGACTAGGAATACGAGCTGGTCACCTCATTGTCTGCCAGAGAAGACGGCCCTGCTGCTTTCTGAATTCTGGAGCCTGGCCCCCTTCCTCCCCACGTGGTTTTCCCTGGGGACATTGCTTGGCTGGCTTCCACTAACATTTAAAAAAAATCTGATCCTTTTAACACATCTCCATTTTGACTGACCCAGCTGTCCAGTCCTGGGATTTCAGGAAACCATCAGAATACCCAGGCTTGGAGCCCAGCCTGGCTTTGACCCAGTGACTTCATATTTGAGCTTCAATGTCTCCCTACATCAAATAAAGATAATACCTATGTTGGAGAGTTGTGAGGATTATTTTTAAATAGTAAAGCATTTAAACTGCCCAAGCTGTGTCTCATTGGTGAATTACTGGGCCCACTATTTTTTTTTAATTCTGAAGCATATTATTTTTGAGATCTCCCCACTTTTTGTTACCCACCTGGTAAATGTCTTTGACCATAAGATCGTCCACATATTTTCTCTGGCCTTTTCAAGTGAGCGATTTCATAAAGTTTAGAGGACATCTTGATGCCTGGCACTGTATTTCCAACATAAGGCCTTTCTTTCAACAGGTTTTCCAGTTTGTCTATGAGCTCTTGGCCCAGGTGGTGCTCTAAATATTTTAGTTGCACGGCTTACCGCAGCCTTGACCTCCTGGGCTCAGGCGGTCCTTCCACCTCAGCCTCCTGAGTAGCTAGGACTTCACGTGCTGGCCACTTCACTGGCTAATTTTTTTTGGTTATTTGTAGAGACGAGGTTTTGCTATGTTGCCTAGGCTGTTCTCGAACTCCTGGGCACAAGCAGTCCTCCCACCTTGGCTTCTCAAAGGGTTGGGATTATTGGCATAAGCTATCTCGCACGGCCTGGACTTCTTGGTAAGTGATCTAATGTATTAATTGGAGGTTTTTCCTTCCTCCAGTCAAAAGCATGAGAGAGAGAGAGAGATTGTGTTATGACCGAGAAAGCGAGAAGTCACGCCAGCAGGCCAAGTTTCAGATTAAGAGCCCTTTTATTAGCACGCGGTCAAGAGTGGCTCATGCCAGGAGAGCTCTTGACAAACTAGTGCAGTTTGGGACAAGCTTTTATAGGTAAAATTTGCAGTGTTGGCTACATAGCAACTTAGTGACCATAGCAACCATTAGCTAACAACTTAGCAACCAAAATGGGAACTTTTGATTGTTAGGGAGTTTTGATTAATTTTATGCCCCAGGTATAGCTGGTGACCGGAAAGTCCCTGCAGTTCTGCCAACAAGATATAGTTTAAGGCAGTTATGTAGAGACAAGGTAGAAGAATTAATGACACAGTAAAGTTACCTTGGTTAGGTCACTCACAAAATATCATAATAAAATATGAAAATGTAACAGTGGGCTTTTGCAAGGTGTAACATTTGGTTTCAGCTAACAAAGCACACAGTTACACCGAACTTATGGCTAGGGAGTTTTGTAACAGCAGGAAACGGTCAGTACGACCTGCCCAAAGGGGACAAAGCTGGGGGTCTGTGGTCATGGGAACATTATGGAAATCACACATAGGCATTGAGGGGTGATTCTTAGGTCAGGCAGGCAACGAAGATGGAAGCTTTAAACAAATGGAGTACGCTGGTTGATACTATTCTTTTGCTAGCAATTTGATTTTATTAACTGATTTAGCTAATTTCAATAGAAGGCAGTAATGGGCATCGACATCTACTCCAAGCTTTATGAAATTAGCTTACAAGAGATCAGAGAAAATAGGAAGATGATTGTTCAGATCTCCCAAGGATTAATCAGACTATACAGTCATAAGTACAAGAGAAAGGAGACATCTAAGGAGACCACTGTGGCTGCAAGCTATCTTTCCAATCTCATCATTTCAAGACAAACAAAATGGGAGTTTGGATATATAAGTCAAGGATGAAAATCCTAAGTGCCAAAACTCCCAAGAATAATGTTAGAGAAGCCTGGATGAGATGGAGTTGACAGAAGAATAATAAAAAGTAACATGTTTATCATAATACTATAAGGGATTGGCAGCAGTGGGAAACTGCCAGGGAGGGAGCACACCTCACCAACAAGGATACCTGCATAATGGACATTTGTATACCTAACTCTGAATTGTACCCCACATCCTTAAAATAAAAAATTTAAAAGTTAAAAAAAAAAAAGAACTAAGTGACTGGCAAATAAAGATATATACACACATTTTTATATACAACAATTAGATTAAGATGTAAGAAAATGCAAATAATGCCCTGAAATCGATACACGTGCATTTTGCTGATGTCATTAAAACCAATTATTCAGAAATGTGACCAAAAAACGTTACATGTTTGTTATGGTCAAACAAAAATAACGTGGCAGGGAAATACAGCGGGTTCTCAACCCTGGCCTTATGTCAGAATTACCTGGGCCTCACTCCAGCTGAATTAAATCTGAACACGTGTGGCCTGGAGCAGATGCCTTCATTTTTGCAAATGACTGAAAATAGAAGCACTTAAACACCAAGAATACAAGGGAATACTGTGGGAAGACGGGAATAAGAGCCCTGGGCAGGGGGCAGAAACAATGTAGACACATTTCAAGAAAGGAAGAAACTATTAAAATTGTAAGACTCAACGTATGCCGATAATAAAAGATGAATACAAGTCACATTTGACTTCTGCAATGACAAGAGGTGCTCACAGTGGTGACCATCAAGCATCCAGACGCTTCTGGTGACAGTGAACAACTGTAGGATTTGTTGCTGTGTGTGGCCTCCCGGGTCCCTTCCTTGTGCCCATCACGCAGAAGACAGTGCGTCTCAGACTCATCACCAATGCGTGCCACTGTCAGGTGTGTGGAAAGTTCTGTTGCATACTCACACCTCCGTTGTCTGTCCTTCCACAGCGTTCTCAGATTTCCAATACCACTTCAAAATGGTCTTGTGCACCTTGAATGACAGCCGTGCTTCCGCCATTTTCTTTGACTGTCCTGCCTGTCGCATGGTGATGCTAGCTTTCATTTGATTGACGTCATGCTACACATTGCTACTGCAATTCAATTCAACTTCGAAAAGTAATATATAGATAACATCTCTTTAAATGTGTATACGTTTTTTGGCACCCCAGGTGGTTAAAATGGAATTGGGACCAGACATCGTGAGGAAGATGAAAAACAGGTCCCCAGCAACTTTGGGCTCCAGTCCTCAGGCCCAGGTGAGTTCAGTTTCAGAATCCTAAAGGAATTCTCATGCTCTGAGTGACACGGTCCCTCTACCCACCCTGGCCCCATCGATGGAAGTGGAGGGGAGCCCCAGGCCCCTCCAGACCATCCTCTCTCCCCCGTTCTCTGCTCTGAGGCCAGAAGAAACCTCCAACGACCAGGCCGCCCCTCAGTGTCCTCATTGTAGCCCCCACATGGCCCTGGGCATCCACTTTTTCTGTTGCTATTTTCTGTCACACACACTTCCCCACTCCAGAACCTCTTCCCTGTGTCTCTAGGACTCCTAACTCTCCCCCAGTGATACTACCTTCCCTGCAGTCCTACAAATATTAGGGGTTTTGTTTTTTGTTTTTGAGTTGGAGTCTCACTCTGTTGCCCAGGTTGGAGTGCAGTGGCACACTCACGGCCACCCCAGCCTCGACCTGCTGGGCTCCGGCAGTCCTTTTGCCTCAGCCTTCCACGTAGCCAGACTACAGGCGTGTGCTACCACGCCGGGCTAATTTTTTTTATAGAGATGAGGGCTCACCAAGTTGCCTGGGCTGATCTCGAACCCGTAGGCTCAGGCAATCCACTGGCCTAGGCCTCCCAAAGTGCAAGGATTACAGGCTGAGCCACTGAGCCCGGTCAGTATTAGGTTTTTAAAACGAGCATTTCTTGAGTACTTCCCCGGTGGCAAGCATGGTTCTATGGTCATGACCCATTTTACAGATGATAAAACAGGCCCAGAGAAGTAGCATTTTTTTTTAACATGGAAGG